GGCTGATGATCAACGGGTTCCAAATCTTGGGAACTATTTTGAGGTGTTTGCTTAAGTTGTCTAACATTACGACCTGTAGTTCTGGTTTCGTTAAGTAAATTACCCCATCCCATTTCTCGCCCGTGACTTATGATATCATGGATTAATGTTGCCCATGTAGGGAGATTTCTGTGCAATAATTCTTTTTCCTGGTCATCAACAACATTCCCTGTGTCCAATACAGCACTGAAATCTGTATCTCTTCTAATTTCATCACGTTTTGCAATGAGATAAGGCTTGAGTACAGTGGGGGCTTGCTTTATTAATGGCTTTAGCATTTCACGATTTACAACTGCTGATATAGGAACATTGCGAGGGCCGCGTTCATGCATAGCCTGGATACAGGCAGCCTTTGTAATAGCTGTGGAGAGATCATTTAAAGATTTCATGTGTATTAAGAGTCTCTCCTCTCTCCAATGTATTTATGCCACCAGCCCAGTACGCCACTCTGCTTGTTATTGAGCGGGGATCATCTGGGGGTTCAGGGCCAGCATTAAAAAGACAACAGGACCCCCAAATCCTTTGGCTTCATCACTTTTTAGTAAGATTCTATCTCCCCCAGTTAGACATACTCACCATAAATATTCAGTTTCTGTTGCGCCTGGCTTACGGCCATAACGTTCTTGTAAGTTAGCCATCTGAATTGGATCAAATGGGGTCGTTTTTTGGATACGATCTCCTGCTCCACCCCAAGGTCCAGTGGTTTTCTCTGTTTTTATAATGGGTCTGACTTCACAGATAGGGGGATTTGAAGGACTAAAAGAACCATTTTTCTCCAGTTCGCTGTCATCAGAGTCACCCCATACGTTCCCGTCCCACTCTTCAGGGGATACCATTAACTTCTTTATCTGCACAATGTCAGGGGAATGGGGAGCCCGCATAAGCATCATTTCAACCTTTTCCTCCAACTTTTGTTTTTTCTCCTTTTCATCCTGTAACTGTTTCTGCAGCTGCTCGATTTTCAAAGACATTATTAACTCAGCTGATTTTCTGCCTTCTATTTCTTCCTTTAGGTCCTGCTCCCTTTTATTGTTATTCTTCCTATCCTGATAAGCAGCTTCTAGGCAGGTGCCTAACATTTTGAAAATAATGCCTTCTCTTTTTCTGTCCTTTATATGGTCCCTGGCCTCCTTTAGCTCTTTTTTCACAACTTCCCAATCATGCCAATTATCATGAGCCCATTCTTCTAAGAATTTGGGACTCGGACTTATCCCATGCTTTCATAAGTAATCAGTGATACTACTACTTGCCATCCTGCCACCAACTTGTTGTGAATGAATGGTTTAGGCTGCTTAAAGAATCACCATCAAAGGTATTAGAAGGCAAACGATTTTAATATGAATCTGCAAAAAGTGCAACTTAGATTTCAATGGCAAGGTCCACTCTATTACTTATAGAAAAGCATACGCATAGAAATCAAATCAGAACTGGTTTGTAATGATTTGTGTATGGATCAGGGAAAATGATTTACACAGGGTCAGGAAAATCAAATCAGGATCGAGTTGGTGTGATTTAGATATGGATTAGGGAAAAAAGATGAGGGAGATCCTCCTGTTGAGTCAGAGGTCCAGAGTGGATCCTCTTGCTTTCTGAACTCCCACTTAGAGGAATCTAGGGGCGGCTGAATCCACTCCTAGTCCCAGACTTGGTCAATGGTTTAGGACTAAAGGAATTAAGTGCAGGGATTCTGGTGTGATGCTTTAAATATGTTTTTTGTGTTTTGTATAACTTTAGAATAGCAGCAATCTAACATGCAATAGAAGTAATGTAAAGTTCACTAACTCTATTAAGGTAAATCACAACATTAGAAAATTTTCTAATAAAGCTTAGTAACACAACAACTTAGTTAAAAACTTAATGAGATTCCCTAATTACACACACACACACACACAGAAATGAATATAGACGTAGAGACATATAAAGAGATATATAAGGATATATACAAAGGTATACCTGCTAAAAATTCCCCTTGAGTCCAGTGAAGTACATCGAATGCCTTTGCATTTCTCACTGGCTGAGGGTTGAGCCTCAAGGAGTGGGGGCAGGTTTCAGCCCAGGTCTTGTTGTTGATCTTCGGCGATGGTCTTCCAAACTTTGCAAACTTGATAGTTCATGAGCTCTGAGAGGTGTCCCACTCAGAGGGAGATGCTGGTCACAGCCCACTGCGGTCCAGGAGAGCTCAAAGGGTCTCACTGAGAATGGCTGTTTATAGGGTCAGGAGATGATTGACTAGGCATCAGTAAATTTCCATCCTTGCCACAATCATTTGCCGGTAATTGCTAGAATTCTCGGAATTCCAGCAGCACTGGTAAGAATCTGTCCAGGTCACAATTAGACAAAATATGTTCCGGGGCTATCGGAGGAACATTAGTTACTCCCACAGCTGATATTCCTGAGACGGTCAGTACCGTTCTGTACTTTAGCTACGCTGGAGTGCTTGGCACGGCCAAGGGGCTCTTAACCGCCAAACTCTCTGCTCCAAGGCCAAGGTTTATCAAGAGCTCCAGGTGCAAGGAGAGGGGAAGAAATGCACCACCACAGAGGGGCCCGGTGAAAGGGCAAGAGACGGTGGGAACAGACTGAAAAACTTTCATCAGTATCACTGATGAAAAAGGATAAAGCTTTAAAAAAGAATGACTTTTCAAAGTTAAAAAAAATGTGGATTGTGTTTTTGTTGAAATCTAGAAGTATCTGCTGTTTTCTAGCTCATCAAGAATCTGATGCTATAAGCATACAGAATGCTTTTCTGGTAGACACAAACTTGGTAAAACTATCACCTTAAAATCACAGTTTTCTTTTTGGAGATTGCCTTCGTTCCCTCTAGCTCTGCATTAGTACCCTCTGGTTCTCTTTTTGCTCTGCAGTAGATACTTATGAGTATTCAGATCTACCCTATGACTAAATCTTCCTGAAGACTTGTACACTCTTATTTAAGAAACATTAACAACTCTTACTGTCCCTTTCAAGAATTACCATTCTTACAACTTTATGTCAGTGAAATTTTGTTGCCATTGCTTTTAATTGGGGGATAGTCACACAGTTCTGTCTGAGTTTAGTTTCAGCATCTAAGATAAGATAACTGCTCTGATTTGGCTATTTCTCTTCATTGACAATGAGGAAATTCAAGTTCCTCACAACTGCCTTGAATGACATCTAAGCTGCTTGCCTAACACAGGGTGTGTGAATAGCTTGCTTTCTCCACTTTTCATCTGTAGAGCAAATATTTCAGTAATTCAACATGGACGTATATATCTCAAAGAAAACATGAGATACAGTATCAACGAAATAACACAGATTAGCTGCATTTACTTTATTGAAATCTTCATGTTTTTAAATTGCTTAAACTACATTTTTATGATAGTACTCTGTGTTCGAACTGAATAGTCACAAGCTAGTCTGGAAATCATGAATAATTTTTCATAATGAAAAAACATTCTTGAAAAAGCAATTCCTTTTCGCTAGGAAGTTGTGTGTTTTTCAGGAAAATGAGTAACAAGCTCACCTGCTTTTAGCTCAAAAGGACAATTGTTCTCAGCGCAAGCACTCCGTATCTGCTAGTACTTCAAGTCCACCAGAGACTGCACCTCACATCCCGGAAAGAGACCTCGTCATATGACATCATCTCATTCACATCTCACTTCCATTCAGTTCCTCTTTACCTCAGTGGTAATGTTAACAATTTTGATATTACTAAGCATTACCGCTGGCTCCTTAGTTAATATTCATAGATGGAACCAAGAAAATTCACAAACTAAAGTGATTTTTCTAGTCTGTTTACGAAATCAGGCAGATGTGTTGGCTTTAGTGACGTCAGAGTGATGTTTTGAAGTTTTGCTCCGACGCAGAGCAGTGAGTGGTACTTTCTAAAATGCAAGCAGAGTATTTGGAAAGCAAAGAAGTGGTATATCCATGTTTCCACAGTTAGCCCTTCATGTACCACACCTTGCTGAACATGGGTTAAATGCCAAGAATGCAAAGTAACTGAATCCATTCAATGAGATCAATATTAATAATTTATTTCAGCATACTAAAATTAGGCAAATGCAACTCAGTAACAAATAAAGAATAAATTTTCAAAATTCTGCATATTTACCCTTAACTGTTTTTTTATTTAAATTTTTTACACCTCTGAAAGGTTCGGAAAAAATTTTACATTTACATTCTCAAACAATTTCTTCTTATTTCCTTAGAAAGTAATGTAATTCAACCCACCCAATGAAGGTTAAAACTTCTACACATTGACATATCCAAAATAGCTTGTCAGATTTTCCATGGGATCTGTAAAGCTAAGAGAGGGTGCTAGACCTTCCAAAAAGTCCATAACCACTCATTTACTCAAGGACTGTACAAATACAGCTTCCATATTTTGCTTAAAGTAGACACAGTGGCTAATGATTGTGGCAAAATTCCTTGCTTGTATCATCACCTCAAATTGTCACCAATAACTGCTATGTCAAAGTCCAGGGACAACCACAGCTTTCACCTTCATAATACTGCTTCCAGATTTCCAATTTGTTCTTTCAGTAGTTTTTTTTTTCCCAGCCAACATCTACAGTGAAGGACAATACAAGAGGACAGTTTATGTGGAAGCAGGAAAAAACAGGCAGATGATTTCTCTGCCACAATATTCAGACTCGTCTGAGGGGTGGCCACCAGGTGTTTCAGTCCCCAGTAAAGCCAGAGGTGCTCGCAATGGTGGGGCATTTGAGAAGCTCAGCCTTATCCTGACTGGTGGCCAGGGGCCATTTGTAGTCAGGAGCTTATATCTCTTTCACAGTCATCTCACTCAGACATCAACAGATCACTTAAATCTGTGTCCCACCGTGGAAATCCATAATGTCCAATTGCTACTGACAACTGCATATGTGAAATGTCAGCATTCATGAAGCTGTGATATTCATTATGCCTGTGACTTTCCCCTGGAAATGTAACACTTAAATAACAGCTTAGACTTTTCAACTATGTCCTGGTACTATGCTATATGTCTTCAGAGATTTATAAGTATTAGGAAAACTGTTGTTGTCAGAGAGGCTTGTTGTAAGCTTTTCCGAGTGTTACGTTATCTTTTTCATGCCTGAAATTCATTTTTAGAAGGTAAGTTTTAAAAGCTTTGTTCATATATGATGAACTGCCATGAAAGTGGGTTTTGAGATTTACTTATAAACTTGTGACCCAGGGCGACCAGGGCCAGTTAAAGGACCAAGTTCACTTTGAATAGCTCCACTGAATTGCCACATTTGTACCTTTCTATCAATGGGTGGCTCTATCTTTTGGCCTCACACCCAGTAAGGCACAGTTATATCACAAAGGTAAAAAAAAGGTCTCTCAGTAAATTTACATCACTTAAAACATAGTACCAGGCTATTAATAATTAAGTTCTTAAAGGGTTTGCAGGAATACTTGGTTTTCTATGGTCCTGTCCTCGCATTACAGCTGCCTTTGCCAAGGCTGAAACTATCCCATTTATATTTTTTATTAGAATTATATTTATCAAAATCTTTGGCAGTTTGCAGGGAAGTATCTGTTTGCCTTTAAATTTTGTGTATGTCATGGAGCACTATAGAGTCAGAATAAAAACAACTTTACATCTATCTGCTCTGATGGAGTGTTTTCATTTGCCAATACAATACACAGATTATCTTATGAATAATCAGGTGGAAAAGAGAGCCACGCTGCTAGTGTCTTTGTTCAGTCTTGTCTGAATAGTTGCTCAGCTAAATAGCTTTACGCCTATGAAAACACTGGGAAGCTTAATTTGAATAAATGTTTGAAATAATTTAAAATCCCTTCAGAGCTCTTCAAGTTGAATTTATATTCTGGTGTACTAATCCTGCCCAAAGGGTCAGCAGAAGAATATAATCGGTATTGACAAAGCTGTTGAACAAACTCATTCTTGATTCAACTTCATTGACTTCAGTGCATTTGCATTTCGAATTGGCCCTTCTAAAGCAAAACAATTCCTTTTATTATAAAGTGTTTCCTAATAGCTTCTTTCATTCAACTTTACTTCGATTCTGCCTATGTGTTTGTTGTAGCTCTCCCTGCCAGAATGGAGGAACGTGCATTGATGACAATGGTTTTGCACCACACGCTTCCTGTCTGTGCCCTGCTGGTTTTGCTGGCAATTTCTGCGAAATAGAGAGAGATGACTGTGAATCCAACCCCTGTGAAAATGGAGGAACATGTACAGATATCGGTGTGGGGTTCAGCTGTTTTTGTCCCCACGGCTATACGGGAAAGCTCTGTAGCAGTCGTGTCATATTCTGTGCAAGTGGCCCATGTGAGAATGGAGGGGCATGCAGTGAACATCCCCAGGGAGGATTCGAATGCATCTGTAAACCAGGATTTGTTGGTGCGACCTGCAAACATCCCAGCAAAAACACAAGCCTCTCTGGAGTGAATATGGAGACAAAGCATATGGAGAATTACAAGCCACCCCCAAAAGCTCATCACAGATCGGTGCATCATGAACAAGAAATCCTGAAAATAACAATGAAAGAAACAATCCAAAATGCAGCTCCCTTGCTCAGTAGAAGCCAGGTGATATGTTTTGTTGTACTGGGCTTGCTTACATGTCTTGTTGTCTTGGGTACAACTGGGATTGTATTTTTTTCAAAATGTGAAATGTGGCTTGCTAATGCCAAATATAGTCATCTCCTACGCAAGAAAAAGAACTTTTTTCTGAAATCTAACAATGGGGAAAACCTCTCAGTTAATATTATCTTCCCAGAGAAGATCAAATTAACTAATTACACTAAGAACTACACTGCCATCTAGGCCCTTGAATGTTGAGCAGCGACTTGCAACTTTTCATAGCAATATGTAAAATATACTGAATTTATTGCCTGTGATTGGCCTCAATATTTGTGGGTACATTTGCTGTAGCTTGTGCTGAGTGATAATGAAGAAATATAATGTATCTGTATTGCTACAGGATAATAAAAAGGATTTTTTCATTCCCCGAAATAGAAATTAAAAAAAAAAAGGGTTAAAGAGCAGGGAATGATAATTTGACTTCTTTTCAAGGCAGCTATTTTTTGTAAAATAAAAGGTAATTTACCACTGGAACTGTATTGCAGCTTTGTCTTGTGCATAGTTTATTTCGCAAGTACGGTACCTGTAAATTATTCAGTAGTGCTTTTTTTTTTTTTTTTAATAAACAGCAGTTAAGGGCTATACTGGTTTCTTTATTCATTTCTGAATGTTATGCTACAGCAAAGTCCACAAGTGTCCCTGACTAATTCTTCTGCTGTGATAAAGACTGTAGAGATTGTGATCAACAGGAGCAAATGTACACTGATGCCTGACATATCCAGTCAGTTTTGCTATGTTTTACATGCTTATAAGATAGATTACTCCTTTTATAGAATCTCATAGGTCTTTGTGATATTAATTTCAGGTTAAAGGTGTCTGTTGCTTGGAATGCTGCCTCCATAAATTGTTCTATTTATGTACCAAACTCTTAAAAATATGTTCAGTGTCTTAGGTCATACTTTCTGTAGAGAGACCTGGTATTAATGTAAAGAATCTGATTCTCACTTTTCTATAAATATTCCTCAAAGAACTCTGCTGAGAGAAGTATCCTTCATGCCTGTGTCATGAGGAGAAATGAAGAGATAACCTGTCACTGGAAAGAGGACAGCTACTTTTAATTCTTCATTTCTACTTTTTCTCTGTCATATTTCATGGGGAGGACAAGATTTTCAAGAATCAAAAGCAGCACTGGCAAACAGGCAAAGGCTCATGAAAGCCACAAAACTGTTAGGGGTCTGAGTTCACTAATAGGTCTTAATGACCCTGAGGAACCTCACCTGGGGGTCCTCACCAACCGCCTACCTACAGGCCCATTTTAGGTCACCCCAGGACTATTGGTCTTCAGCTGAGCTATGCTGTAGGAGTGCTGGTCTCCATCTCCACCTCTGCCTCCTGGATGGACCTCAGACCTGTACTGTAGGTAGCCATTCTTCTGGATGGGCTCTTTGGACCTGTGCTCCAGCCTCGTCTCTGGCCCTGTCCCCTTTTGCTCCTGACTGGAGCCCATGGATGGACCCTGGACCTGGTTCATCACTTGCTGTGTCATGGACTGTGTAGGGACCCCACTACCAGCACCGACTCTGGCAATGTGTTCAGCCTCTGTGAGACTGTGCCGGTGGTGAGGGCATGTCCCACCCTGGAGCATGACCCTCCTGGGTCTCCCACCTTCGCTTCCTTACTGGGCAGCCTGATGCTGACTGCTCCCTTTCAAAATGCAGCACTTCACTTACTTAAAGGTATCTTTAGCTGCTGTTAAGTAACAATTTACTTCCCCAGCCACCACAGACAGGAACATTTAGCACCTTCTTCTAAACTGTCTGATAACTACGCTATTCCCAAATCCATTAACAGCTGCTCAAATTAAAATAAAAACAAAAACAAACCTTAAAGCACATACAGGTCATTACCCTAGGCTTTTTTTCTGTTGACGTTTCTCTTAATTGCTATGAGTACATAGTAAGTTTGCTGTACTGCTGGTGGTATTTGCACATATGATAGCATTAAAACATAGCGCAAAGATTAGAGCTAACAAGGAAAATGGTGTTGAGATATTATTGTGGAAAGGGTTGACTTCTAGACAACAGGATGAAAATTTTAAAGCAAGCAGATGCTCCCTTTCAAAACTCTTACTGAGAAGACAACTATTTATCAGCACCAGCAACTTTTCAACCAGTTTTAGCAAAGATGACTAACTTAGAAATCCAGATGAAGGTACAACCAGGTAAGCAGTACTGAATTTGAAGCCATGAAACATGACCCACAGGAGTTTACGCATTTCTTTTAAAACAATACATATTAAATGTGTTATTCTGCATTGTACATTTTAATATGGGATCTATTCTGTGTTAGAAGTACGTTAGGCTCAATTTGGAGATAATCAGAAACATTGAATGACTCCCATGGGTAGCTTGCAGCTTTGATTCAAAACCATTTGCAACAGTAGATACCCACTTGGGATCAGTGATCAGATGCCAGACTCAGCTGTGCACCTTCCCCCTCCCTTTGAGCAGAGGCTCCCTCAGCCCTTACCGCTCGCTCTGCTTCAGGCCAGAGCAAGGCTTTGAGTAACAAAGCTTGTGTTTAAAATACAAAATGCAGGTAATTACAACTCATATTTATAAACTGTCGTGATTTTTGGCCATGGTGACCTAGTTGGCAGCTCCTCCATCACAGTGTATTCTTCATGTGTAGACAAGAGAGCCTCTTTGAAGAGAAGGTCATTAGATCAGCATGAAAAAACCCACAGATTTCAGCTCCCAGCATCCTTCCTATCAGTGGTAATGTCAGTGAAGAAGTATAGGAGGCTGCTATTGTCCTACTATACTCTCCAAAGGAAAAAAGTTTTATCTTAAACCTGAAATGCTAGAAAAAATAATAGCTGTCTTTAGCTTCTCTGTTCCAGAAAAGAACTAAAAGTATGTATAGGAGTTTGTCATATCTGTCCTGTTAGTGTAGTGAATAGCTCTGAAGCCTGACCACCACATAAATGACACAGAACTGGGATGCCAAGAAAGAATGAAGTTAAAACAAGCTGCAACGTTTGAATCAATAGCTTGCAACAAAGTAAGGTCTTCAAAGCAAAAAGTTTAAAACAAGCATTGTGCAGAAACACTGACATAAAGGCAAAGAGGAGACAAAAAACATTGGTACCGCTTCATTTTTCTGTTTGTTCTACATATTTTTTATTAATGGACAGAGAACAACATATCTATGGTGCCCATTGCCAGAGGTACCCACCTATATTGCTGTTTCTCACTATTTTGATTTTTGAATGCTCCCCCTTAGTCAAGCAATGATGTCTCTGAGCCTCAAATCCCACCTCTGCCTTTTTGCCTGGAGAAAAATAAATAAATAAAAATTAAAAGAAAATATATTTTATATATAAAATATATATATTTTATATATA